ACATAATTTGATGAAAATCACCCCTGATGATGATGCCGTGGTTTGATACTTTGATGTATTGGTAGTTTTATTAGTTTTTAAAATCATTTATTATTAAAAAATATATTAAAATAATATTATTTTTATTTTTTAAAATTTATTTTTAATATCAATATATCAAAATAATAAAAAAATAATTTAAAAAAATCGTAAAAAAAAAATAAAACGAAAAATCAATCACGCTCGTTATGTTTGAAGGGGACCGAACATCTCTTGGATGAAATTTTTCGCTTAGGAGACAGGACAGGGCACATAGCATTAAATTATGTACTATGCTAAGCTCACGCCTTGTTGACTGCAGATTATTGTTCTTGAAAATGACAAACAGAAAGACTGACAACTGACACGTGTAATATGTATATATACATATACATATATACATATATATATATATATAATTAATTAATTAATTAGATATGTATATGTATGTATGTATGTATGTATGTATGTATGTATGTATGTATGTATGTATGTATGTATGTATGTATGTATGTATGTATGTATGTATGTATGTATGTGTGTGTGTGTGTATTACGTGGAAATGATTCATGAAATGTTTTACGGCTAAGCATGCAATGTTTTGCACGTAACTTATTTAATAATAATTAAAAAAAGGTTTGGCCCATGTTTCCAACAAGTGGCTAGATAGTTTGCTCTTAAATAAATTAAGAATTTTATAAATAAAATCATATTGGACCGATCAAATAGTCACCTAGGATTTTGAATTTAAAAAGAATAACAATTACTTATTCTAATATCTTAAAATCTAAAATATATAAATAAAGAGTTATTTAGTATTTAAAATGGTAATTAATTAATAGGTTAAGTTATGATTAAATTATTAAATCTTGTTTTTATTCATGAAATCTTATTTTTTAGAAGAGACAAGACACATCTAAAAATGAATTCTATAACTTAAGTTATGATTAAAATATTAAATATTGTTCTTGAGTGATTAGATTAAATCAGCTAGAATTAGTGAACTTTTACTTTGTCTAGGATTGTTCTTCATGTAAGACTTTAATGACAGAAGTTACAAGAACAAAATCTAAATATATTAATTTATAAGTATATGTGAATTATAAGAAGTTTTTCAAGTTAATCAAGCCAAGAATATGGATTGAATGAGAAGTTGAAATGAATTTTTTAATACAAATTGAATTGCAAATGATAATTAAATTATAAGTAAATTAGATTGAATTGTATTATGAGAAATGAGAAAAACAAATAATTATTTTAAAGTAATGAGATATTTTGTTTAATCATGTTATGTCTATAAATAAAATGGTTGTTTGCAAAGTTAAATTTCATAATAAATTGAGAATTGGATAGTAAATAATATTATAGACTTGGTTATACAGGAGAGGCCACATGTTCAACTTAATAATTGAGGATTTATGCATGAGTTTAAAACCAAATAGGTGTTTTTCACTCTACCACTCTTTATAAGGAATTTCCTAAATTGTATATTTATATTCTTAGTATATTGTTTTTTCAATATTTGTACATGAATGTTGATAAGGATATAAAATAGTCAAAGAATTATAGAGAGTTTGGGTTAGATTTCATGAATTTTGATTGATTGATGGAAATTCCAACGGATGAAAATTCATCATTGAATTAGAAGGTTTTCAAAAGATTGTAGAAGGTTTTTGAAATGACCAATAATGTTATTGATGGTTTTAAAGTATTATCTCGTGAGTTCATCACAATAATTCTACCTAACATTTTTATCATTACTCATTAAGGAGTTGTTCGAAGAACAAATTGGTGCACAAAGAGTTGTAATAGAAGCATAATATAAGAACAAAGTAGGAGGCAATGAGAGGAGATGATAACATATTTGTCCAGTCATTATCTTTTTTTTTATGGGCCTTCATGAGATTTTTCTCTCCCTCCATATGTATTTACAACTACTTTTTAATATATCTAGACATTTATAATTGATTTTTACAGTAAAATTAATAATATAAAATATATTTTTTAATTTAATTTAGTTGTTCGATATTATTATTTAATGTCACATAATGTGAAATTGTATGATATTATTATGTCCCTAATGACACAAGTTTGAAATAAAAAACTGTAGAGGACTTCACTATCATTGGTCATTGAAATAAATTCGTGTTCAATTTTCGGTCTGGCCAATGTCATGTAAAGGTCTGCACTGGTTTTCGAAAAGACAGTGACAAATTATGTCCTTAATGCGACAAGTTTCAAATAGAGTGACCCCAAATTTATAACAAAGCCACCTACAACTTGATTATCTTCTGTTGAGATATCGGTAAGACTCGAGGGATCTAACTGAACATTTTTGTGCTCCTAGAAATTAAATTTGTGAAAAAATTCAGAACTTTTTTTTTAAAATATCAAGTAAAACTTGAGGGATTGAAACAAATATTTTTGCGCCTTAGAAAATAAATGTGTTAAAAAATAATTTTTTTAAAATAAATGTACCATTAGAAATTAAGATATAATCATCTAAATAATAAAGTTTAAAATGTTTTTTTATTTTATATTAAAAAGATATTATTTTATTATTTTAAATTGAAATATTTAAAATAAAAAGATTTTTTTATTTTGCATTGAAAATACATAATTTTTTTCTTGTAAACATAATATATATATATTAAACAGTTTTAAATCCTACATTAATTTTTTTTAATATAGAATATATATGTTAAAAAAATTTAAATTTTACATTGAAAAATAAAATATTATTCTAGTATTTATTTAATAAATTTTAAAATAAATTAATAATTAACTGAAAAAATATAAAAAAAATTTCTAATTAGAAAAAAATATATTTTTAAAAAATAAAAATAGATTAACCTAGCGGGTCAAATGGTTCATCATGGACACCTTTTTTCCCAATTGTTTTAATTTATTTATAAATGATGAGTAAAACATTATAAGAGATGTTATAAAATAATTGAATAATACAAGCAAAGATTATGTGTCAAAAACATAATTTATCAGAAAGATGTGAGATTGGTTTTTTAAATTTATACGGCGTGACTTCGATACACTGTTCATACTTGCTTCCACTTGTTGGAAATTTGTGGCCAGAGGACTTCACCATGGGAAAGGAAGAGAGTGATATTCCCTTTTTTTCTTTTTCTTTTTTGATATATATATTTTTTATTAACATGAATATTTAAACCACTTTTGATATACTTAAATTAATTTTATATATTTTAAAATTAATAATCATATAAATATTTAATCACACTAGTATTAATATTTACAAGACTCAAATCGGTTGTTTTAAAAAGTAAATATAGAGACATTTTATTTTACACGTGTTGGATGATCATTGATTGTGGTGGGTGTCTTGTAAAATTGAATTGACTCGACTCTCGAGCATGTAGCGGGCCAGCGGCTGCTCCCACTCCAAATAATAATTACTTCTGTCGAATACATGATATTATAAAATTATTATTAATATCACATAGAAATGCTGATGAAACAGGTTTGAAAGATTGATATTTTATAATGATTATTTTTAAAATATACTAAAATAATATTATTTTTATTTTTTAAAATTTATTTTTAATATCAGTACAAAAAATATATATAAAAAATTATTTTTCAGTAAAAAAATTATTTTTTTATAAAATACTGTTTGTAACACTATTCCAACTCTTTAATGACGCAGAGTTTTATTATAGAAAAACATTAGTCATCATTAAATCTCTTACATTTTTTATTTATAATAATTTGGAAATAACATAAATATATAAGAACATACTAAAAATCACCCACATGTAGGGGGTTATGTGCATGGGGTAGCTGGTTAATTAATAGGTTCAAGCATATTAATTGTTGGCTAAAAAAACTAACAACTCTTAAAATAACAATAAATTATAATTCTTATGAAAATATAAAAACCTTAAAATGGTACAACCAGTGTATTAATAAAATAAAAAATACGTTTATTTGATAAATATTAAATCATTTTATAAAATTTAACACTCCTATATTAGACATTTAAAGTCAATATTAAAAAATTAAATTAAATTATATATATATATATGTGATTTTTTGATTCTCAAGAGACACTTGTAGTATCTTATAAGGCTCTATACTCATAAATAACAAGTAGTGACAATATATAAATTTGATGAATTTGTATTCATAAAATCAACAGATACTGACTATATATATATATAATTTATTTTTTTCTTCTTCTAAAAAATATATTAATAACATCTTGATACTTCTTACATATTGCGGGAAATGATATAATAAAGTTACTATAAATAAAGTTACTTCGAGTTATTATTGAAATGCCTTACTGAAATCAAACATACAGAAACAAATTAAGAGGGAGGGTGATATTTTCAAAATATCAATTTAATTACAATTTCTTTTGGTAAATGTTTAATTTGCTTCCCTTGAAGAATACAGGTTCCCCTGGAGTCCACGGACAAAAGTTGTTGCAATATTATACCAATAGATAAAGGTAATTAGGTTTAAATCACCTTTGGGATAATTTTTTTTATATAAATTTACTGTTTATAGATAGTCCATTTTGACTTAGCAAAAAAATATGAATTTAATCTTTATATATGAAAGTTGGTGCTTGAAAATACAATCATGGTTACTTTTTAAAGAATTTTTTATGTTAAAATATATTAAAATGATATTTGACTTTTTAAAGAATTTTTTATGTTAAAATATATTAAAATGATATTTTTTTTATTTTTTAAAAATTATTTTTGATATTAACATATTAAAATGATTTAAAAACATTAAAAATATTTTAATTTAAAATAAATTAAAAATTAATTTTTTTTAAAACTTTTAAAATACAAAAATAAAAATGAAGATACAGCACTGAAAAAGCTTTTGAAAAAAATATTGCAGACTTTTAAAATACAGAAATAAAAATGAAGATACAGCGCTGAAAAAGCTTTTGAAAAAAATATTGCAGATCATATTTAATAACAAGGAGTTTGAGACACGCTCTCGTTCATTTTACTGTGGCATACAGGGAAAAATTAAACATTAATTGCACTACAGGTTGCTTTTACATCTATGATATATGGTGTCCCAGAAGAGGAATATGGAAAATTTCTTAATATGGTTACAATTTATTTGGATTTGATCTCCTAAAGCCATGATGGAAATAGAGAAATTGTGCTTCAATTTCCCATCATTGGACTGCATGTGGGGATCTGAGAGCTGAAACAGCTCTTTCAATTTTTATCTTCAGATGCTCTTTCTCTTCTTCATCGACCTGCAAGACACGAGCTGCTGTCAACTTTCCCGACCAAATTTCTTGTGATGCTAAGATTGAAATTCTTTTATGGAACGAATTCCATCAATATTTTCTTTTAATAAATCATCTGAACCCCTTCTACTTTCTAAAATATAGCTCTTTTTCTTTTTTTACACACACACAGACAGTTTTGTCGGTTATTGTAAAAAGGTTTTTCAACTGAGAACTTGAATTGTTGCCCTAAAGATCGCATGCACTTTTATATTAGTACAACTAATTCATATTAATTTTTGGTTTTGCATTTGTGTGACTTGGAGAGGTCAAGGAAAGAGAAGGGAGCCTGACCTCTATCACGACTGTCGTCTTTATCATCCCTGAGAGAGCTGTGGCATTTGCTGTGATAATTTTTAGCTTCAAAGATTCGAAAACCTCATAGATCCTACTCATTGCGTCTGTCGTTTTATTACATTCGAAGCTAACTAACAATGTCTTCTCTCCCATAGAGGTAATAGCAAGCTGAAAAACATCACCAGACTCATCATAAGTAACATATTAATCATTCGAGATACACAGTACTGGCATGTTTTACGTACAGCAGAGACGAACTCACTTCATGAACTTGAACAGGACAAGTACTTCTGCCCAAACTGTGATGATAAATTTGGTCATATCTTGTTCTCTTGGATCTTAACAAGTCTGGTAGCTCTTGCTCAATGCCAGAATCAGGATGTTTCATCAATCTTTTGGATTCATGCTCCCTTATCTCCGCTTGGAGAATCCTCTCTTGTTCTTGCAAGTCTTGGATGTACTCAATAGCATCTTTGATTATGGAAGCCTTGTCCAACTAAATTTGGTCAATAAAAAGAATGAAAAAAAAAATCAAATCCAAAACAAAACAAATTACAAACATTAGCATTATTAATTAATGTAGCATTAAATTTAGAATTATCTGTGTATCGCATGTATTAATTTGTTAGTGGTTGCCGATAAGCATATCACTCAACCAGCATTCATTTCTTCCTTCCATGAAAAGATATCAAGTTCGAGACTGCCTGTAACAAAAAACAAAAGAAAAAAAAATAAAACTATGGGTTACCTTGCTGAATTTGGGGACTGTTCCTCTAAGTGCCAAGAGCTGATTTTGGGGACTGTTCCTCTAAGTGCCAAGAGCTTGTCATTGAGCTCCTTCCTCTTTTTCCTCTTCGAATCAATATTTTTAGCTCTTATCGGTGAACCAGTTCCCTCCGGCAAACTTGGAGCATTGCACCCGAGATTAGATTGCTGATTCGTTGCCCAACTGTCTCGAAATTAAAGCACTTTTACACGTAAAAGCTTTGGACATGGTTAAGCAGCATAAATTATATAGTAATATAAAAATTTGGGCACCAAAAGAATATATATGAGGGGGTACCTATAATCAAGCTCTTCGTTCCAAAACCAGTTAGTTTCCCAGTAATTTTGGTATTCTCCAATATTTTCAATGATATCCATGAATAGAGATAGAGAAACACCGAATGGTTCATGCTTAAGATATAGAGTGGTTTTGTCATGATGCACAAATCTTCCAGTGGGTATTTTGTCTCTCTTCCAGCCATTTCTAGAAAGCGCCCACACCCAACGGTACCGTAGTCTCAGTGTCTCTTAAACAAATAATACTACTTTTTTTTTTCATAGCAAAAGGCTAATGAATGTTTTCAGTACAACTATCAAGTCTTATCTAAATATATTTATTATATATTTGTTTGTTTAATTTGATAAAATAAAAATTCATATCCCAAGTAAGATAAAGTATTTGAATTTGAATTTACAAATGTGTTGTGCGATTGAATTTGAATGATGAATATAAATTCCTCAAAATATTTACTAAAATGACTAAAGAACTTATTATCTCAATCAAAAGTAATGATATTCAATAACTCAAAGCATCATTGCTTTGTTGGGAAGGAAAAAATATGTCAATAATATTTAAAAATATATTAGCTACAATAAATACAAAACCCATTTCCCCTTTATGTATAGGTTAATCCAAGAAAACAAATATATAGACAAAATCATATATAACTTGTATTATTAGCATGTCCTTTGATAGTTTGACAAATATAGCATTTATGTGTAAATTTATCAATATCACATTTGAACTGATAACATCAATATTTTCTTTTGTTTTAAATGACCACCTAATCCTTCTTCAAACAAATCATGAATCACTTTCTCTCATAATGAAGAATGAGGAATACAAAGTTGATTGTCGTTCATAATTTATCCATAAAGAATATATAAATCATTTTTATACACCTTTTGCATAACTCATTAAAATCCTCATTATTTTCATACAAATCTTTTAAGCGATTAAATCTACTAATATCTCATTTAAAGCTTCCTCTTAATCAAAACATCTTAAACCCTATTTTAGACTCGTTTTATACATAATTTTAATTAGAACTTATTGTAAGTACATCTCTCTTTTTCTCTCTCTCACACACACAGATATATATATTATTAATAATTTGTTTATACTAAATAGAAATTTAGTACTTTATGATTAGAAAACAACAAATTATTTTCTCATCAGGTAATGCTTCCACTTCTTTATACTCCTGAAAACAACATAAAAGATCTCATTACACATATACCACTCCAATATAACATCACTTAACTTCTCAATTAGGAATGTTATGGGTCTTTTTATTGGATAGTTCAGCTTTAATTCCTATACCACAAGAATCACATTTTATCTTAAATATGTGGTCCAAATTTTAAAGTGCTAAAATTAAAACGGTGCTTAACCTTTTTTTTTAAATTAAAAAAAAAAAGCTTTTTTTTATCTCCTTAATCTAGTCAAACTTTGTTTTCTTTGTTACTAATTAGTAAGTACAATTATATTACTAAAAATTTATATAATTGTCTATGAAAGAAAATAGTTAATTGTGAAAGATACGCACAAACCAATCTCTAATAAGTCTAATCTTCTATTTATTTACATATATACCATTTATATTAATAATAAAACCTGAAAACAACAACTTGTTAGTCATAAAACTATAATTTTTTCAAGTTCACATATAGCTTATTTTTATAACATAATGTCTATAATTTTTCTAAATATTCCAAGTGGTCAATTACAAATTAGAATAACATTAAACTAAACTACCACGAATTTATTGATAAAGGGACTTAGAACCCAATTCAACAATTGTATGAAAATTGTTCGATGTGTTAGATAATCTAAATGGAATAACTAGCCACTTGATTGGTCTGAAACTACCATCGACTCATCTCCAAGCTATTGATACAAGTGTGTTAAAAGGATGTCCCACCATGCTATTGATATTTTCTTCTTAACCAGTGTACATGTACAGATTAGTTTTGTTAAAAATTTATGGAATGAGCAGGTTGTCCTACGGTTTAGTCTGGATTCAGAAGGAAAATTAGGAGTTCTGGTTCAGGTGAAAGCTAAATACAGTAACAAACAATAACAAATAAAAAAAAGAACATGAGAATTTTATTGAGTGAAAAAAACTGCAAATGTAAACTCCAAGTTCTAGGTTTATTTTCTCTAGAAGAACAATCATTCAGTCCTCTTCTTTAGGAAATTTATAAAGCCTTAAATAGGTTAGAAATCCTATTTTAAGTAAGAAACAAAATAAAAATTCAAAATTACAAAAAAAAGAAAAATGAAATATGTAAATAACAATCAAAATTATAAAAACTGCCAAAATCAGAGCTTAAGATAAGATTTTTAAATCTAAAGATCTGGCAGTCAAAGTAGCGATTTCATACTTCTTCGAGCATGACTCGTAGATTTACTTAAAAAAAAACAACCTCTTGAAACTTCTATAAAAATTTAAACGGGATCTAATGACCGAATTAAATGTTATGATCTTTCTGAATTATTATTTTAGTATGACATAACTGGATCTCCTCTTAGGTCTAGTCTTATTTCACTAATTCATAAATATATTTGTTAGATCATTTATATCATTTATCAGTGGCAGATTCTCATATCATTTAGTTATAGTAGACCCACACCTACTCACTTATTATTACAAGTCTAACTACATAAGTTTTATATGATCAAAATGAAGAGAATTTTCAGGTATAATCGGTAGATTACAGTGGTCAACAGGTAACTATTTTTGGTGCGCATGTTAAAACATCTTTCCATTGTGCTGTTGTGGGCATTTATGCATCAATTCAACATATGACCGAAAGACATTATGGTTTGATTTAAAAATTCTGAAAAAAATTCTGAAATCTACTTTTGACCTCCCCATGATCCTTGTGGGAGATTTTAATGGAACACTTCGTGCTAGTGAAGGAAGCAGTGGGTACTTAAATCGGCAAGGTTCATGGGCTTTCAGAAATCTTATTTTTGAATGTGATCTTATGGAATATCCTCTCTCCAGGGGCATCGATTTACTTGGTTTAGAAGCAAATCTAAGAGTCGCATGGATCGGGCTTTTGCATCTCCGGCAGCACACCAGCAATTTTCATCTCATTGATTCGGTTCTATTGAGGTCTATCTGATCATTGCCAACCAGTCCTTGGGCAATCATTACAAAACTAGGGGTAGAGGCCTTTTCGCTTCATAAATTGCTGGCCTTCTCACCCTCAATTTTTGAATGATCTTAAAGGATTCTAGATTGAAAGTTGTATAACATTTCCAGGCAGGTACAACCTAGTCAGAAAGTTGAGTTTCATGGCAACAATATCCAGAATCCGGAATCATGCAGTATTTGGTAATCAAGACAAAAAGCTTCTAGATGTACAGAATCAGATTCAAAAGCTTGAAGGGAAAGGAGGTTACTCAGCTTACAGAAATAGAGATGTCTGATCTTAGTAATCTGTTTTCTCAACAGTGGCAGATTAGTAAGAATGTTTAGGCTATTTGGAAGCTAAAGTCTAGGAAGCTCTGGTGTAGACTTGGAGACAGGAATAAAAAATCCTTCCATCGAGCATCCACTGTTAGAAAATCTCGTAATTTTATTTCAAGAATTACACATGAAAGCTTTCTACATTCAACTCCAGATAGTAGTCGCTGCAGTTTTTTTTCCTCTCAAGTTTGTTCTCTAAGTCTCGGCTTCAAAGGGTCAGTATTGGAGCTTTAAGGTTTAAAAAGTTTCTCCTCTATAATCAAGCTGGTTAGAAAAACAAATAACACTGGAAGAAGTCAAACGCCAACGCCAACGCCATTCCAGCTGAGCCCAACAACAAAAGAGGCTGCCTACCAAACCGGTCCAGAAAAAGAGCTGAGAGCAACACAAAAGGAGTTTTGGCAGATCCCATGATGACAATAACACCAACGAGCATTTTCTTGCTGTGAATTCCTGCATCCTTTAACTGAGCACAACTTAGTTTCATTTCCAACACTCTTGTTTTCATTCTAAATTATTACAACATGCTAATTCATATGAACTGCATCCTTAAATGGTTTGAATAAACATCAGGACTCTGGGCTAATCTTCATAAGAGCTCATTGAATGGAGTTAATCTAGATGATGATTACACATATGGTATGGCTAGCTCTATTCTCAGAAGATGGGACAGGTTACCTGTTAGGTACCTAGGACTTCCTTTGGGAGCAAATCCTAAAAGACTTTCTACCTAGAAACCAAATTTATCAAGGATTCGGGCTAGATTATGTTTATGGAAAGGGAGGTGACGAAGCATGACAGGACGGGTATGTCAGTGTTTTGAATTGGTTGCCGTTATATTACATGTCAGTGTTTCGAATGCCTAAGGAGGTAAATCATTCTATAACGTCAATCAGTCCACTAGATAGCTCAATGATAACAATTTGATTTCATTGTAATCTCAAGTTCGAGTTATACAGTTATTAATATA